CTATCATTTTTTTTTAAAAAAAATATCTTACATTCAAATATTTCTCTAAATTTATGGGGAATCTACTAACTCTTTTGTAAGTAAGTAAATTACGATGAAAAATTAAACCAAATTTTGTTTGAGTAAGTTTTTTTTTATATGTTTAGTTTTCTTGTGAGAGCAATTGAGTAAGTTTTTTTTTTATATGTTTACTTTTCTTGTGAGAGCAATGGAATTGATAGCTTAAACTTGAGCAAACACCTTAAGAAATAAGAAAAATTAGTTAAATTTTGATAATACCTTAAATGATTGGGATTTGGATATGAGGTTGATGTAGTTACCATGTTTGATTTTATTAACATTGTTCAAATCTTAAGATCAATGTTAATGATATTTCATGTATTTATAATTGAAAAGTCAAATTATTTTAACTAAGTTATAAATTAAGTTATATTAGTTTAAGATGATGTTATTTTGGAAGGACTTTCTAACCCTTTGACTAGGTGAATAGAAGTATAGTTTGACGAATTGCACCATGTTCTTCATTCAACGACAAGTCAAATGTTGGTTGAGTGGAAAATTGCTTTTAAATTAAAAAAAATGTTTATTTTTTATTATATTGTTATAATTTATTAATATATTGCCTTTGAATCTTATTATAATGAGACGGATAATTAATTGTAATTATTATATTTAAATTAAGTTGAAGTATATTTATGAAAGAAAGTGTATATAAAGGAGAAATTTCTAGTATACTTTATTAAGGATCAAACTGTGTTTTTAACAATTCCGCTTTCTTATTTGTTAGACTTTGAAGTGATGTTTTGACCTTAATGTTATGTTACATGGTTAGAAAAGGTTATTTTAAAATAATATTAATTTAATTACTTCTCTCTTAAAGCTATTTATGAAAATTCGTATTTCAAATTAAATAATCCAAATACACACATTTCATATATTTTTTTAATACAAGAGTATCAAATATTATTTTATACTTTTTCTCTAATGAAATGCAATCCTTTCATCTGAATTATACTCCACTCTTTTCTTAGTGTATTGGTCTTAAGTAAATGGTGAAAAATCATATATGTTGGCATGAATAATGATTAAAATCAATTGGAAGGTTTAATTAAAAAGTTTTATAGTTCTTAATCATACATAATTATTTATATTGTTTTATATCCTATATAACCCGTGTTTCTCTGCTTTATCTGTCTCTTTTGATTGAAAAACAAAAAAAAATTATATATATATATATATATATATATATATATATATATATTTATATTCAAAAGTGGTGGATATAAAAATTGTTTCTTCAGATAAAAAAGAATGTTGTTAATCATTCATAAAACAATAATAATATTTTGAGACAGTTTTTATTTTTAACATTCATTTGACACGAGACTTACGTGTTTTTTGCCACGTTGACTTTTCAATGTACTGCTACTCTTAATAAATTCAATGTAGTGCAACTCTTAATAAAAATCATCTTTCAATACAGATAGTCCAAATAATTAAATAAAAAAATATAGGTTTTAAATTGTGATCATTATTAGAGCAGAAAATTAGAGATAAATATGGTGAATGTGACTCTTATTATAGGCATCTTATGTAAAAAGTTAATAAAAACTTGTGATTTTGATTAAGAACTCTGTCATAAACTTTTCTAAAATGTGTACAGACATAAGAATAAGAATGAGCATTCTTACAAGTTTGTTTAGTACTGTAAATTGAGTTTGATCAATGAGGTAATGGCACTAAATATACATCTGCCACTGAAAAATTGAATTAAAAAATGTGTTGGTTGCACTATGGAGAGTTCTGGGAAAATGTTCTTTATTCATTTGGTATTCATGGCATGAAAAAACACAGATGCCTAGTATGAAGAAGATACTAGTGCAGTGAACAATGCAACAAAGCCAGTTACACCAAGAGAAGTGATTCCATATGGAGTAATAGTTTTTGTTGAACTTGTTTCAGCTATGTCTTTATCAGGTACAGAATCTTCACCTACAAGAAGTAAATGCAGTATTAGTTATAATATAATTACACCATTTGTTCATGAAAACATTGCTCCAAGAGTTACTGGCTAGACAAAATTTTCCATTAGCATGTTGAGAAACAGAAATAGTCCAAAGATTCTTACTCATGTAGATGAATTTAGTCTGAATTAAAATGAAAACTCTTATTTCCCATGTTTCATATGTTCATACTAAAAATTCTTCTCCTATGGGTAGGTGATGATGATTTACCTTCTGCTTCTGGTGATGAGTCTGATGCATCAGCAATGAAAAAAAAAAGCAGATGAAGTAAGAACCACTTCCATATCTAATTTGTGCAGTTTAAATGCATAAGATTATAAGAAAAGGTAAAGATATTAAAATTCTTAATAAGTATGACTAATTAATCCTCATTAAACCAACTTGTAAAACCAAGTTAGATTTACACTTATATGGTATCAGAAAAAAAAACAACAAATTCATTGCTTTTGTACACCTAGAAAAATTGTTCATATTTACTCTAGAGGTATCTTCTCAAATTATAATCATGTGTTGTTTTGTTATAATTAAAACTCCTCAAGGGAGGGACTACACACATAAATCTCCATAATAGTAAGATATTGTCTGCTTTTGGGACTAAGTCTTACGGATTTGTTTTTGATACCACTTCAAAAGGCTTTTTATCTATGAAGATACCTTTATATATGTATATACTCATCTTCATCTCTTGTTTTATTCTATATGGGACTTTATTTGTATCCTAACATGCCCTCTATCTTTTGAAGCCGGAGACAATGCAAAATACAACATCTCTGTTCATTGGAATATCATGCAATGACTTGCACAATTGCATTTCTTATTAAGTGGAAGAGTAATTTCAAAAGATTCATGTACCAAGCAAAAGGTATAACAATCAACGAAAAACATGAACAAAAGCTTCTCTCCTTTGTTGGTAAAAGAAAAGAGAAACAAACATCAAGCATGAAATGAAAGAAAGAGACAGACAAAACCATCACAAATGAAAAACTAGACAAGCTTGACTCAGCTTCAATTCCAACAAGCTTTTGCAAGAAGAGAAACATGGAAAAATAATGTCAAGTGGCAGATATAGAAAGCACAAAAAACAAAAGAAAAATGGCAACAAACAAATGATTTTAGTAACTATTTGTACCTTGAGATCCTCCTGTGTCGTTGCAGCTAGAAAAGTCAGCCTCAATGCTGCAAGCTTGAGGGAGCTTCAAGAGGTCATCCTTGGAAACACCAACAGATTGCAGCAGAGAAGGCTTGTTAACGATATTGCAGAGGCACGGTGATTTATTGTCATGCATCTCTTTCAAGGGTGCACAGCAAGTCTCAGGAGGAGGGTCGGTTTGAGACTTCAAGTATGTTTGGCATGGAACCAGCTTTTGCATGCATTGTGCATTCTGTAGAAAGTTACCTTGCCCTAGACCAGGTAGGAGCTGGTCAAGGGAAGTTTGACACAGACCAACATGAACATATGAAGAGAAGAACATGACCATGAAGAGGAATGAAAGGGGGCCAATGTTAGAAGCCATTCTCTTCATCAAAGAGAGAGAAAATTCAGGATGAAACAACACCAACCAACCAACCAAATCTTGTTTTTACGTTGATGTTATTTTCTCTCTATTCCCCCAGTGCATCATTCTGGTGTATTGCAGCTATATAAATCAGAGGGAACTTCTATTTTTGAAGGGTTCTTTTTAAGACCAAACCAAATGGAGCCAGCCATTTTTCCTTCTTTCTTTTTGCTAGGTTGGGATATGTGTTTTGTATCATACTATTATTTGACACTTTATTTTCTCTACAATGTTGTTGGAATCTGCAAAATTCAAGTGTCTATGTTCATTTTTAGGTTTTGGTTTGTTATCTAGATTTTTGTGCAACAGGTATGCTATATGTTTGGAAAATATTCTGCATGACCTGACTATGAACCCCACATGTTTGTTTATCATGAGATAAATATTAAATTCAAAATATAAAGACTGATAAAAGGATGTTGTCCATTTAACTTTCTTCATTTTCTTAATGAAATTCAATGCATGTGTAAATATTAGCTAGAATGAAATAGAAGCCACATTTTCTTATGTTTACTATTCTAGAAATGGTTGTTTATTCATTAATTTTTTGGATTAAATTACTAGCACACCACTTAATCATTTTTAAAAGCTGCAAATATATAGGTCTCTAAAGTAAAAAAAAAAAAGTTAATTGGATTCCTAAACTAAAAATCCTCTTAAATGGAATTTTAATCATTTAAAAAATCTTAATAATTCACCTACCCACATAACAATTTAACCTTTTTTGTGTAATTCAAAATTTTGCAAATCGGCTACGAAAGCGGATAATCTCGCTCGACCCGATCCGGTCCATTATTGGTTGACTATTTAGTGAGTCAATCCAATCCGATTAATTTATTAGCAAGCCGGCTTGCTGACCTGGCCCACTTGGTGGGTTAAACGGGTTAGTTCACTTAATTACTAAGTTTATTTTTTAAATCCAAAAATAAGTTACAAATTTTTGTTATTCAAATTTTAAAAAATTTCACTCTAATGAAGTTAAACTCCAAAGACAATTCAAAATAAAAAAAAAAACATATAACTCAAATGTAATCCAAAAACAAAGTCAAAAGCAAATAAATAAGTTTATAATATTAATAATTTTTGTGTCACTTATTAAAGTCTTGAATGAATAAATTTATAATATTTTGATCTCTTAGAAACATCTTTTTCTTTATTCACATTTACAATACAATAAAAAAAATGTTAACAAATAATATTTAAACACAAAATAATAAATAATTAAATTAAACTAGATGAATTGGTGAGCCAACTCGATTCACCACAAGTTCAACCCGGGTGAACCGAATTGAAAAATGACTCATATAAAAAAATTTCATTTTTTTTCAACCTAACCTGATCCGAACCAGTGGTGAACTGGATTGACCCGCGAATTCTAACCTATTTTGACAACACTAGAAATCATGCATGAATGACAATGACTAGTCAAACTTTATATACGTTACACTTCCAAATATATGCTTGTGATTTCCAAGAGAACAATAAGTTTCCTACAGAATCAACTGGGATATAAAGGGCTTGCCTTTTATTCGCTTGAAAAGGATAAGCACCATGAAATGTATGTAGATAAAACAAGAAACAAAGGTTTTGAAATGCCCAAATATACGTCATTTGCTTATAAATTGCCGTCACCCATGTGGATTGTACACAAGAAAATTTTTGTGAAACCCCTGTTTGATGCTTTACCATCCATGCAAAAAAGTTAGAACGTAAGCTAAATTACAAAGAACCAACAACCTCAAATGATATGGAATCAAAAGCTCTTTATTCTTTCCTCTCTTTTGTGGCACAAATGCTGTTCCACAAAACATGCACGTTTATATGTTGGTTTTGCATTAGTGCAATCCCCTAACGTGTGTGTCTCACACTTCATCAACCAAACATATATGAAGATCAACAGTTATTGAATCATATTTTAATAAAAACAGATTCTCTGTTATCACCTGAAATTAAGATTCAGAAATATCATTACACTATATTAACTTAACTCCATGTTTCTTTAAAAATAAAAACTTTACTCCATATAACTCATCAATTTATATCCAAACACAATGGAATCCTCCAGAAATTGCCCAAAGAAATTAAGCCAATTTTCTTGTTGGCCATGTAATTAGACATGTATCAGCTAAAAATATACTAATCATTGGTCAGTTATCCAGCCAATAGCCATAATGAATCTGAAGATTATTCATTGTATTATGTATAAACGAAATAATTATACATTATGATAAAAGTTGAAAAAAATCATAAATGAAGACTTGCAGGAACTTTGTAGTGAAGTATTGCTACAAAAAGTAATAACTATGAAAAGCTCAGAAACCAAAAGAAAATACTAAGGACAAAAATGCCTACCAAATTTCTCTATCAACGACCAAAAAAGTGATCTTACAATTACAGAAGTATATAAATCTAAACTTCCATTCACGTATGTAGGGCTAGTTGGTGGCTGGTACAGAACAGGATCCAGAGAAGTTAAGGGAGAAACTAGCACTGTCTGATCCAGATGAGCAGCTTTCAGATGATTTCTTGCTCATATAAAAGTATGGTGATGTGCTCGTCATCCTGAGTCAATGCAAAAACATGCTTCAACATCACAAGTTCATTACAAGAGAATTGAAAAATATAGAGCTATTATCAGTATTATGTCACATGGTAAAGAGTGTGTGTGTGTGTAATTTTTAACGACAGAAAGTTCAATTGGCACCACCAAAGTTGACCAGACAAATGGAGAACATGGAAACATGTTTTCCAGGAAAGAAGTTTATAAATGTTTGATACCCTGTATTAATGTATATGAATTAAACTCTTTGATTATAATATAGCATAAGAACACATTTAAACTTCTATCTTTTGCTGAATATTTTTACACTGGGTGCTAATTAGATTCTAAAGGGGTTGAGAAAATTTAAATTGAGCATCTGCAAAAATTACCTTTCCTTTCTCTTCTCCAAAAACCGAGTCAAGGATGCTTTGCGTGCCTGAGGCAAGTATACTGTAAACACAACAAAACATTGCAGTTCATTACAGTGCCTTACATAAACTGGTGAAAGATACTTGCTACTAAAAGTCAAGGAAGACTAGTAAGTAGGAAACTTTAACTCTATAGTATTAGGTGAAATGTAATGGAACCACTCAATATTTTGTGGGGTCAAAATGATTTATCTAAAAAATAGAAAGAGTACTAAAAAGTAAAAGAGACTAGGCATAGTGTACCTGGTTGAGCACTTTCCTTAGATGCAGATCCTACAGAACCAACAACGATAGGGGACTCCAAATGGTTAGTAGGGGCAATTGAAGATCCTACTATTGGTCTTATCATTGCAAGCTTATTGTAGCTAGAAGTTCCTGCTCCTGGCTGAGAATTGACATGAGAGGTCAATGAGAGAGAGGTTGGGAGGGGTGAGGGAGAATATGATTGGCTCATAATGAAACCATCATCTTTGGAGGGAATAGAAACTGCTGTCTGCAATTTAGCTGTGGAAATTGCCATTTTCTGAGTTGGGGCAGACCCATTTCCAGCCATTAACATTATATCCTTGGCCTAATGGTCATGGAAAGTGAAAATCAGAAAACTAAAACTGCAAATATTGAATACAATGACTATGCCACCTATTGACTTAAGGGTACTAGTTCAGAAATCCATAAATAGAAAATTTTGATTGAAAATCACGCCTTTTAATGCATTGATAACAACAAATGTTGCAAGTTCTAATAAAACCTTTTCACTTTTGGTTCCTTAATAGTGAACATGGTTAGCAAAACTGATAAGAAGTTTTAACAGAATTAAGCCAATAACAACTAAAGTTTTATTGCACTAGGTCAGGTACAAAACCAAATCTTCAGGGTTTAGAATAGTTAAGACAACTTTAGAAAACTATACCTTCTCAGGAGTTATGTCGTTATAAACACATACGGAACCAGAATAGAAAATGGTGAGCTGTGTAGCCATGCCAGAGGATTTGGAACTATTCCTGAAGGAAAAACAACAATTTTCAGATGTGACATTGTTCAACAAGATCACATCACACTTCCATATATCTTGAGCGTGTATCTTCCGTGAAATTGAAAATTACAACTTTTTAAATGTTTTAAACTTGTAATACCTTAAGTCAGTGGATCCAACAATGGAACCTATTGATGGAAGAACAGATAGAGGTGTGCCAGAGGATTTGGAACCAAGAGGTTGTGGTTTTATGACTGAATTGACCATGTTCAATCCGGTTGTAGCAAGATTAGACTGAAGAGCAGGACTCACTTGATTTGATTGGTTGGAAACTGAAAATATTCTTGCCTCCTGAAGGCATGCAGATTGTGCATCAATACATTGCATTGGATAAACTGTCCTTCCCTGTTTGTTTCCTGCACTATGCTTGCCTATGTACAAATTTCTCTATAAAATATGAAAGTAATAAATAAGGAAAAATTAGCTTCAGAAAAAAAATGCAAAAAACAAAGTGAAAAATACCTTTCACAATTGTAAGACGGGAGTAGATCGTGTATGCAATCAGTGTAGAACAATTTTACATTATCATCCGATCAGATGGCACTATATATGATAAGTTTGTGTATTTTTACAATAAGCACCTTAAAAATCATACCAATGATTACTTTTAATGGGTTGCTAGAGTAAAAGTGTTTATTCAAAACGTGCATAGAAATTAAACTCGTAAGATAGAATAAATGGTGCATGCACCACAGTTTGAGAATGTTCTACTTTTAGGTGAAATTTCTATGAAATATGAAATTAGGCCTTTTGTTGGTTACTCACAAGAAGTTCAAAGCGTCTTTTAATACGAAAAAGATGAAGAAGCAAACCTGAGCCACACCCAAAAATGGTTTCTGGTTAGACTCAAAAGCCTCTTTAGATGGCATGTTCATATATCCAGATGAAGCTAGTGAATCAATAATAGTCTTTCTAGGCCTGTCTTCCTGATTGGTCTTGAAGGAAAGGAACTGAGGAAGGACTGAAACCTTGTTTGGGAATGACCACTGCATTCCTGAACTCCTCGCTGCATCAAATTAGGACAAAAAAGGTATATGTAACACTAGATCAAGCTCATGAGAATCGAAACCGTGCAGAAGAAAATCCATCTGTGAATAAAGATGATAAGAAAACACATTCATAGAATCATAGATACCTCAAAGTTAAAGAAGCTCCGCTCTTTGATTGAGATGTAAATACAGGTAAAGTATAAACTAAAAGAAAAGATTAACTGTTTTCCAAATCCAAACAATATGAAGCAGGATAATGATAATGGTCTTCAAGGTGCTTTAAACTAGTGAGAAAAATACTCTAATCATGCCCACTAGAACCTAAGCAAAGACAGACATTATCTACTAGAAAAACTTTCAGCCTCTGGCAAACCAATATCAAACAAATGAGAATATGTCCCCACACCACAGACTATTTCTCAACAGTTTTCCCCCACAGAAAAGATAAATATGTTAGCAAATAATGAAGGTACAACTAACAACTTGAATGGCTCAGAACAACTTCAAAAACAGCAATGAAACACTTGAAACAATTACTCTACCATAAAACTATTTCATAGAAGCTCCAAAAGCACTTTAATCATAAGAAGCCAGAGTCCTTGTACTATTATTTACATAATTTAATTATTTCACATGTGAGGATGTGGCCATCTTAGTTTATAGTAAATGTCGGCAGCATCTGAACAGGCACAGTTTAGAAATTCAAATTTATAAACCATAGAAAAATATAAATATATATTAACTCCTCGTGAAGTTTGCCATTATTTAATGGTGAACCTTATTAAATGCAATTATTATATCATGCTACAATATTTTATGCTGTCACTCTCAAAATATTTTATGCAAACCTTGTTGCGCACAGCTAGTCACTACTACCATTGAAGATGTTTCTTTATTTCTCAACATAAAATATTATTTTAGCACCACGCATGCACATGTTAACCTCGGATATATAATATAAATGGTGGTTAATGTATATTAAAAAAATGTGTACACATGTTTATCCTTTTTAAATGATTTTCATACATCAGAATCCATAATATTAATACTAAATTACACCAGATTGTCTCCATCATTTCAATAATGCATATCATAAGATGAATATGAAAGCAAGAAAAAGAAGTGACACATTCTGCAATAAAATATAGAAGAAATAGCACCAGAGACAACCAATGACACGTCTCTATTATGTACCAGACATATCTAATAAATCAATAATGTCTGTTTCATGTCCCTCTTATTGTACATTACTTCTCTTCTTTTAAAGGAAAAGAAGCTTTACTGCAAATTACTTGGTCTTGGTAAAATGTGAAATAAGAGAACAAAAGATTATTTATCATCGAAAATGTACTGAATAGTATTTTTTTTTAATAAAATATATCATTGGTCTCTAAATACTGATCTTAAATATCTAAAATTCAATGAAAACAAATATATATCAGAGAGATAAAATAATAGCGAATTAAAACATCCAACGAAGTAAAAAATATTAATAAAAAATACATATCAAATTCTGAAAAATAACCTCAAAGACTGATGTCTCGGAAAAAATTTATGACAAACACCAAGAATTCCCCCCTACTTGCACTTTTATCATTAGTTTTGTTATTGGTTTAAAGATCTGAGTTATTAGAGTTTAATTTTTATGCACAGTAAAAATTTTTTTACAGTATCTATCAAATCAACTAATTAAAAATCATCTTAATGTTATAAATAGCTTATACATAAGTAAAAGGTATTTACACTGTTCTTCCACTACAACTCTAATTTTTTTTATACACAGTAAGTAAGAAACTAAATCCATATGATAATATTTTCTTTTTAAGTCAAAACCCTTCACTTTTAGTTGTTGAATTCCATATTATTTAACATGCACAAAAGTGCTTTTCTCTTCTCTTCATCCTCTTAAAACAAGTGTCACCTAAGTTTGACCATCTCACAATACACTGACACCCAAGGAAGATGAAGGTAACTGTATACAGCTTGCCATGCCCCACCATTCCATCCATCAAACATCAACTTTAAAACATAAAAGCCAAATGGGTCAATTACCCCACTTATCAAGATTTTTCTTTAATTAGCTCCATATATGATTGATACTTCACCTAATTGATGTAGTTATGTATTATAATTAGGTTGCAACTTTGAGATAAAATGCCTTCACTCTATAGCTTCATGTTTGAATAGGTTCAATTCCCCATCCTTATTATTAAAAGGGCACTTAGAATTAGAAGCCTTAAAGTTAAAACTCTAGTTCTTATCTATTAAGATAAAAGGGTAAAAGAAAAAAGCAAACCAAGAAAGAACCCCCACACTATATTTTCTGTGGCACATGGGCTCTAAAGCACTCTTCTTTTCCTCTGTTCCTCCATGTTTTATTCTTTTTTAGAAAGAAATACAAGCTATTTCCTTTTTCTTATTTGTATGAAAATAAGCCACTTATAGTATATCAAGAAAGACCGAGTAAAAGGGGTGTCAAAAATATCCAAAAATGGAACTGAAAAATATTGCCATCCAAAAACTCAAAATTTCCATTCTTCTTCTTCCCTCCTGCATAACATAACAATCCAAAAAAGAACAACAATAATAAAATTCTAAATACTTCAAAAAAAAAAGGCTCTGGCTTTCTAACCTCTAAGATAATGCAGAACTTTCAAGTTCAAACCAACATGAGAAGTGCAAAGTTTTAAATTTATAGAATAATTATACAAATAATTTGAAAAATGGTGGAAAGTGCTACCTGGGTCTTTTGGTTTGTTAGCAGCATCATCTTTCATGTTTTTGGAACTCAAGTCAAAAAATTCTCTCTCCATTTGACAAGAAATCTGAGACCCTGAAGAATTTTTCTGTGGCTAGTGACCCAAAGAACAGGAGTTTGAGAAAAGATTAAAAAAACTAGAAGTTTGTGAATGATTGGAAGCTGAGCAGAGACAATGGTAGAAGAAGAAACATACAAGAGAGAACAAAAGAGATATATAATTATAAGGACAAAATCAACGTGTGCAAAAATAAAATGCACGTGTACCCGGTTCGAATCATTGATACTGGACCGTTGATTAAATTAGATTCGGTTCTATTCCATGTTGATCATACTGATTGACCGGTCCAACCGGTTGGTGCACTGATGCTCACTTGTGAAACTAAGGATGCTAACTGAAGTCCAACCAATCATATATAAAACAATTACTTGTATATTTTATCATTTAATTATTCTTATTTTATAAACTTTAAGGTTTTCCTATTATCATGTTTTTTAAAATTTTTAAATGTTTTATGACTATGATAAAGTGTTGACAAATATGACATCTTTTTATTGTAATTATTATAATAAATTGTGTAAAGATAATAATACAACCACAAAATAGATAATAAAAGAAATGATAAAATATGTAATGAAAATTAAAAATTTAGTGGTGAAATATGTGAATAAGATTGAATGGTTAAACTTATAAAATAATAATAATAGTAATAATTAAGTGATAAAATATGAGATTAAAAAATATTTTTTACTTTGTACCAGTTTATATTTGAGAACATAGATACAAAAGCATGAGAAATTATAAGAGTTAATATTAATTGTATGAAATTGGAACTAATAAGTAAAATAAACAACTCAAAGTACATCTTACTTTTCATAAACAAAGTTATAAATCTAACTATTAAAACTAACTATCTTTTTCGTTCTACTATAAATTAATCACTTAATGAATTAATTTAATCTTATTAACAAATTTAAAAATTTTGAATTTTATCCGGCTAGGTTGATTGGTTAAATAAAATTACTTGCTCAATTATAATTTTTTAATTAAAATCTAAATAAAATAAAATCTATATATAACTCAAAATGTATTAAACTTTAAATACAATCTAAAATCATAAAAATATAATAAATCCAAATACATTTATACATAAAAAAATTTAAAATTTTTAGTTTTTTAATATAATTTAATATTTAAAATTTATGAATTGAGTGATGAATAATAAATCAAGATTACTTTTTATTCATGTCAAAATTTATAATTTTTTTTAATCTAATTCGACTTAAAACTATAATGAACTAAATTAACTCATAAGATTTAACCTATTTTAGATTAGAATGATAAAGTAAAAAGTTATTTTATTTTTTTTATCATTTCAGGTATTACTAGATTATAAACTTTGAGATCTATCACAAGGCTTGATTTATTGTTAAAAAAAATTCACATTTTCTATAATTTTTTAAAATGGATAACTCTTATAAAAGGAACAAGTGTGTTTTTATTTTCTTAATAAAGTAAATCTATATTTTTCAATTTCAATTTGATTTGTTTAGCTTTTTATAACAAAACAATTATCTATTTTAATAACTTTAAGCCAACCAGTTTGAGACATGTGCCTATGGCCCTTCTTTTGAGAAAAAAGAGAAAATAATATATATATATATATATATATATATATATATATATATATTCGTAGAAAGATTAATTAAGTACCGTCCTTTATTTTCTGACTTTGGACTCACATGTTTGGATATTAATTAATGTTTTATTCATCAAAACTTTTTTCTATTATTTTAATGGCTAAACGTTTCACGAGGAAGCGTTGGATTCGATTTGTCTGTGGAAAGTGACAGCCGGTACTAATAATATATATATAATATTTAATGTATAATATGAACACAACAATAAAATAAAAATAAACACTTTCTGTATATTGTTTATATATTTTTGATTGGTCGAGGTTGTTTTTTAACTAATCATGTAAAAATTGGTTTAATCTAATTTTTGTTTCTTTTCTGGGTAATATAGTTTCTTACTTTAATCATCACAATCATCTTAAGTCATTATCTGATTATGTTACCAATCATGAAAAAGACAAAAACAGCTTTTGCTGTAGGTTTTGAAATTTAAAATAAACCAATCTGTATTAATTAAAAAAAATCATAGTATTATTTTTTGTCTTATGAGAATCTCTTACCAATCTGTTATTATAAATTAATTCAACTAATTTCTACAAATGACATTTTTTTTCCAACATTTCTTAATAAAAATAAAAAAAACACACAGTAGGCAAATTTTCTTTTTCACTTATCCCAACGTATCAATAACATAAACAACAAATTTTTACCACATCTAATAATTCTGTTCGAAATTTAAAAAATTTAATTTTTTTTTCTTTCATTCATTCGTATATTTTTTAAAGATAAAATTATGATAAAACTGATTTCAAAGTCATTGATTATAACATAATGAAAATATTACACTATTAGAAAAAAAAGTTATTCATTCACTATTTAAAATAATTTTAGATTCTAATTTAAGGGTTAAATATGTTGTTAGTTTTTAAATTATGAAGTGATTTTGTTTTTATATCTTTTAAACTAAGGTACTTTTTTGTCATTTCTTTTTTAGGAAACCATAATTTTTCATATTTAAAAAGTAACGACGTTAAAAAAAGCTGAACTGGCTAACGGTGGAGTGTCATGTCATTTTTTACAGAGTCAATCTGTTCCTTACCGTACGATAATGACCAACCGATATTAGTAATGGTCAAACGGTTATGATGACTGAATGGTGATGGTAACCGAACAGTATTGGTAATGGCCGAACGGTTATGACGACTGTATAATGATGGTGACCAAACGGTGAGGGACAGATTGATTCAGTGTAGTGTAAAAAAAAAAAAAATGACATAGCACTTCATCGTTAGCCAGCTCAACTTCTTTTTAACGCCACTAGTTTCTATTACGTAAATAAGCTTCAATCCAATGAAACGAGGGGCCATTGATAAATCAGTGAAATTCAATAATATGCTCTTTGTTTACAAAATAATCAGTCTTGCTGGATAAATACAACTGTTGCTGTTAAACAGAGAAATGGTAGAGACAATATTGATCTTTGGCATGTAAGATCAGAACATCTATCTACTGGGAGATTGGACGTAATGAAATTCAAATATTATTTTGATCATAGTAGCAAAGATTTTATTTGTTATACTTGCCATCTTGCTAAACAGAAGAAACCTTCTTTCTCTGCTAGTAATTCTCATGCTGAAAATAGTTTGGATCTCATACATGTGGATATTAACGGACCATGTTCTAGCATTTCTATAAATGGATACTGATATTGTTTTACTATTGTTGGTGATCATACTTGTTTTAGCTTGTTTGATTAAATTTATTGAGTGTGTAAAAACTTAGTTTCAAAATTTAGTTCTAAACCAGTTTTAGTTTGCTTTTATGATTTCAATTGGCGAATAGTACTTTCAATTGTTGTTTCTAATTTATTGTAGTCATTGCACTTTCATTGTATTCCAATTTTAATATGTTCATCTTGGAATTCCATTTCACTGTGATAACTGACACAGCTCATTATGTTTTTATTGTTTTGATTACTTTTATTCTTTTATTTTTTGATTTTGAAATCATTTATCTCAACCCCTGTACCAGTCAGATAGACAAATTCTACATTAAAAAATCTTGCTTCTTTGTATGATGAATTTTTTAGATGGTTTTGAAGTTTCTTTTTCATGTCAATTTTGCCTCTATATGATTGGAGTTCTCTCTTATTGGTCGGTATATTATATGTTGTTTTTTTGTACTTTTTCTGATAACATGCTTTTTTTTTGTATTATTCTTGATTAAGCACTCATGTCTAAGATAGTTGAATATTTTTCATTTAGTTCCTGACACTGTGAATTTTCAGACTATTGACAAAAGATCCTAATCAGAGACAGGGATCAAAAGGTGCATCAGAGGTGATGTAATTTCTTACAAAATATAGAACTTCGTTATTCATTTTTATAATGGTTGATTTTAGTGTCATTATCTTGATGTTCAATGTTATCCCTATGTTGGTTTTGTTAACTGCATTTGTGCATGTTTTTCATAAAAAACAACAATCAAACCACGGTTAGAATCTGGTCATATATCTTGAAATCTACACATACTAAAGTAGAACTAATTTTCTTAATCCGTTGAATTTGAATGTTTATATTTTTGTATTTAACACTTAAGATTTTTCTACACTAGCAAAGCTAAACTTGGTGAAAGGTGGGAATGAAAGAAATTATACATGAAAAATTTTCCAAAATAAATTATAGTGAATATTTAGTTTTATTATCATATTTTGATGAGTTAAATTTAATATTTATAGTCATTTATAAATTATAAAAATAGAAATACAGCTTTTCTATTATTATTTTCGATATTCAATCGCTAATATATAACATAAGTTTAGGTGAATTTTTTTTTTAACTATGTTGTGGAGTAATTAATTTTAAGTATATAAATAGTTTAATTTTTTAATGTTTCTTTCTTTACTATTATAATATATACAGAAAATGCTTAATCAAAATATTATAATTTTAAAATATAGTTAAAAATAAAATAAGAATACAACATATTTACATACTTTTTGTTATATGTGTATATATATTGATAAATTATATTTAAATTTATGATTTCTTATGATTTTTTTTTTTTGCCAATTCAATTGCCATCCCTAGCCAATTAGGACTTCCATGCAAATCGTACTACGAACACTTCTTATTCGTGCTGAAAACCTAACTTCGATCTTGCAGCAAAGATGTCGCTCTCAAGAATGTTAAGGTTTTCTTCTCTTCCTTCCTTTCACAAGTTTCCTTCTTTTCTTCCAATCCTCACTTCTCCATGTTGCTCTCAGTTTCACTCCCAAACCTCGTTACACGACGAAGCCATTTCACAATTCAATGGCTTGCTTCGTATGCGTAACGTTCCTCCCATCTTCGAATTTGGAAAGATTTTGGGATTCCTTGTGAAGATGAAGCACTATCCTACTGCTATTTCTCTCATTAAGCAAATGGAACTTAAGGGAATTCGCCCTGACCTTGTTATTCTCACCATATGCATCAATTGTTTCTGTCACTTAGACCAATTGGCCTCAGCATTTTCTGTTTTTGCCATGATTCTCAGACGGGGTTATCACCCAGATGTCATAACACTAACTACACTCTTGAGAGGTTTCTGTGATAAGGGTGAGATCATGAAAGCACTCGACTTTCTCGATAAAGTAGTAGCACTAGGATTTCAGCTCGAATACGGGACACTGATCAATGGACTGTGCAAGATAGGAAAAACTAAAGTTGCCATCGAATTACTCAGAAGGATTGAAGGTCGATCAACAGTAATGTACACTATAATTATTGATGGCCTATTCAAAGATAAACATTCAAAAGAAGCTTATGATATGTATTGTGAAATGGTTGTCAAGGAAATTTCTCGTAATGTTGTTACCTATAATACTTTAGTTTATGGCTTTTGCTATCTGAATCAGTTAGAACAAGCTTTTGGTTTCATAAATGAAATGCTATCAAATAGCATCAAGCCAAATGTTTATACCTATAATATATTGATGGATGCATTATGTAAGCAAGGAAAGCTAAGAGAAGCCAAAAATGTGTTGGGTGTGATGATGAAAGCTTATGTGAAACCTGATGATTTTAGCTTTAATGCTTTAATGGAGGGATATTGCTTAATTAACGAAGTGAAGATTGCTAAACAAGTATTCAATGCAATGACCCAGATAGGAGTGACTCCTACGGTATCCAGTTACAATATCATGATAAATGGACTCATAAGGAACGATAGGTTGGATGAGGCCATAAAACTCAGTCAGGAAATGCTAACAAATAGCATCAAGCCAGATGTTTATACTTATAATATATTGATGGATGCATTATGTAAGCAAGGAAAGCTAAGAGAAGCCAAGAATGTGTTGGGTGTGATGGTGAAAGCTTGTGTGAAACCTGATGATTTTAGCTTTAATAGTTTAATGGAGGGGTATTGCTTGATTAATGAAGTGAAGATGGCTAAACAATTATTCAACGTAATGACCCAGATAGGAGTGAGTCCTACTGTATACAACTACAATACCATGATAAATGGACTCATAAAGAACGATAGGTTGGACGAGGCCAACAAACTCTTTCAGGAAATGCAGAAAAGGGATGTGGTTCCTGATACAGTAACTTACAATATTCTTATTGATGGTTTTTGCAAATCTGGGAGAATATCTTATGTTTGGGATCTTATTGACCGGATGCATGATAGAAATCAACAACCAAACACAATCACTTACAATTGTTTGTTAGATGCTATATGCAAAAACTATGATGTAGACAAGGCATTTGAATTATTCAAAACAATGATCGGAAAAGGAATTCAGCCGAAAATGTATACATGGAACATACTTATTAATGGAATGTGCAGAGGGGGAAGACTTGAGAAGGCACAAGAGATCTTTCAGGATCTTTTAATTAAAGGCTACCCTTTAGATGTATGTAGTTATACTACTATGATCTGTGGTCTTTGTAACAAGGGTTTGCTTGATGAGGCGCTGAACTTATGGTCCAAAATGGAAGACAGTGGTTGCATGCCTAATGCAGTAACTTTTGAAATGATGATTAGGGCTCTCTTTGAAAAGGACGAGACTGATAAGGCAGAGGCATTTCTTCGTGAAATGATCTCTAGAGACTTGATAAAAGGTGAAATCCTATTTATTACGGGAGTTTTACCTTTGTGCAACTTATTTTTTACATGCTGCATACTGTGGAGTTGATAATTTTTTATTTTTTTATTTTGTACCCTGCATTTTGATTGCTATAGAACTTCTTTTTTCTTTGACATTGCATTTTTACTGTAGAATTTATTTAATTTATTAGAACAGGGTTTGAAATGAATGATTTCATTGTCTTTGTAGACCAAAACGGTGACGTCCCTCCCTGTGTCTAAAATCTTCGTGGCTTTTTTATTTTTAACCGTTTGATATTCTACATTCATGTTCGTCAGAGCCCAAATATGTTTTTTTAGGGCTTTCAGTGTTACATCTCAGGGAAGCCATATTTCTTTAATTATTGTATAAATCACATTTTCATATAGAAATATAGTTTAAGTATGCAAGAAAATAAGGTTGGGGGGACGAGGAAGAAAAATAGTGAATTTACTTGGGACAACTCCAGTCCCCATGATAATAGATGCACGTGGTGGGGAAATTGTTGGACAAAAGTTTCAAGTTCATTTTACTTCTAGAGGTTCTCTACCACATAATAACATCATTTAAGAAGTGTACAAACATACCATATTACCTTATTGATATTTTGATATAACTCGTTACAAGTTTTCTATTATGTAAATAGGCTTCAATTCAATGAAACGAGGGGCCATTGATAAATCAGTGAAATTCAATAATATGCTCTTTGTTTACAAAATAATCAGTGTTGTTGCAAAATTACTACTGCTGTTAAACTGAGAAATGGTAGACAAAATATTGATCTTTGGCATGTAAGATCAACATCTATCTACTGGGAGATGGACATAATGAAATGCAAATATTATTTTGTTCATAGTAGCAAAGATTTTATTTGTGATACTTGCCATCTTGTTAAACAGAAGAAACTTTCTTTCTCTGCTAGTAATTCTCATGTTGAAAATAGTTTTGATCCCATACATGTGGATATTTGCGGACCATGTTCTAGCATTTCTATAAACGGATACTGATATTTTTTTTTACTATTGTTGGTGATCATACTTGTTTTACCTTGTTTGATCAATTTTATTGAGTATTTAAAAACTCAGTTTCAGAAAATTGTTAAGTGTGTTAGAAGTGATAATGGTTTGGAATTTAAGGCGAGTGATTACTTGAGCTCTAAAGGCATTATATATCAAATTACTTGTACTGAAACATCAGAACAAAATGCTCTAGTTGAACGGAAACACCAACATTTCTAAATCTTACTAGATTTTCCTTTTCAAGCTAATCTTTCTTATCAATTCTGGATCTTTGCTGTTATTAATTCTGTTTTCTTGATAAACTGTATTCCTACCCCTTTCCTTGATAATATCTCGCCTTTTGAATAGTTATATGACAAGCTAAGTGATATATTTATACTTGTTTGATTTTAGGATTTTTCAGAAGAAGAAAAAAAAAGAGGTTGACTGCAGCTGTGGTGCAGAGAATTAGAGTTGAGCAGTTATGAGCCATCATTGAAGAACAACATGTAATATGCTCAACTTGTTGCTGCCAATTAAAGACTTAATCGAAGCCTGCTGAACCAAAACACAAGCAACTTGTAGCTGTCAAGTCAAAGAGAAAGAAACTGTTTGACTTCAAGCAATGCAACTTGCGCTGGCATGTTGGATAAGAGCTGAATAAAGAAGCTTGAAGAGTCAATTTACCTGCTGGCCTGGTAATTGAATTACTTGTAGGATTTGTTAGTGGTAGTTAAGTTGAACCAAGTGTAATCATTGATTTTTTACCATTGCATCCTGTTTTCCAATTTTCAAATATTTGTGTCAGCATATATAAGGCTTATTTTCTGGACAGTTTTAACGTTTTTTTTTTTTACAATTAGTTAACTCTGTTTTCAGGCTTGCATTTTTAGGGTTCCATCACTGTTTCGGATTCAAGATATTTTCAGTTCTGCACATCTAAATTTCAAAGTGATACATTCTTTAGCTTTAGATAAATGATCGAAACATAAGTTTGATTTCAATTCTGCGCTCATTTGACAGCTTTGCTAATTTACGTAATTAGGTTTTACTGCTTTTAAGGTTATTCCAGTTTTCAAAATTTAGTTCAGACCAGTTTTAGTTTGCTTTTATGATTTCAATTGGCGAATAGTACTTTCAATTGTTGCTTCTAATTTATTCAATTCATTTCACTTTCATTGCATTCCAATTTCAATATGTTCAATTCAGAATTCCATTTCAGTGTGATAACTGACGCAGCTGTTTCTGTTTTTTTGTTTTCATTACTTTTATTCTTTGATTTTTGGTTCCTGCGCTGTGCCAAATCCACGTATATGCCATGTTTACTTCATTACATACAAAATAGTTTTACTTTGTTACATTTTATCATCCATTATACCACTTTTTTCACGTTCAATTTTCACCAAGATATTTCATCAAACAGTTTTTTAACAGTGTAATAGATTGTTTACTGTTTCTTCTTTTAACAGTGTTGTATATATTACAACTAATCCCCTTGTTTTTTAACACAGACTTCTCAAATTACTGAGAATTTCTCTTTGCGTTTCTCCTTCCTTTCTTCTCTTTTCTTCTCTTGCTTACAATATTTCCGTTAGTTACTTGTTAATTCTGAAAGTAATATGGCTCTGCACTATAAAAAAATGAGTATGGTTCTTGAGTTTGATAGATCTAAATCTGATATATTTTCTGGAAATTCTTTACCATCAGTAGGCAAACTTGTATCATGAAACACCCATATTTGATCTAATGATTACTCTATTCCTTCTCAGTTGTATTCTTAGATAGATTTTAATCATAAATTTTACATATTCCAAATGAGAAGGTTAGAAGGTACCGTGGTAGTATGATACAAAAAAAAACCTATTCCCTTTACCAAAATACTTCCAAATATAGATCCTTTCTTCCAATGACTTGTAGAATTGATTTTTAATATTCGTAAGAAACATTTTTAATTATGAAAACATTGTATAATAAGTTATATCAATATCAATAAGGTAATACACTATGGTATTATGTGGTAGAGAACCTCTAGAAGTAAAATGAACTTGGAACAAAAAGCTATTATTGTTTTAGAAGTAGGGAGGGAGGTCAAAGTTTTGGTCTGGACAGACAATGAAATCATTGATTTCAACCCCTGTACCAAACAGCTAGACAAATTCTACGATAAAATTGCAATGTTAAAGAAAACGGGAGTTCTATAGCAATCAGGGTACAAAATAATATATATATATATATATATATATATATTCCACATCCAATATGCAGCGTGAGTTACAGTGAGGTCATATTCTTCTAATAAATGAAGTAATGTCTCTAATTTATCAGTCTCATGCTTTTCAAAGAGAACCATAATCATTATTTCAAAAGTTACTCTATTAGTGTATTAAGAACAATATTCCTTTTATGTGTTCTCTGAAAGAGATTTAAGGCCGCATCCACCCTATCGTTCTTTGTGAGTCCATTTATCATGATACTGTAGCTGCAAACAATAGGGCTCACTCTCATCCAGGTCATTGCATGGAATACTTGTTCACATTCTTCATTTCATTAACTAAATAATACCCATCCATTAAAGCATTAAAGCTAAAATCATTAGGTTTCACATAAGCTTTCACCATCACACCCAAGACCTTCTTGGCTTTTCTTAGCTTTCCTTGTTGACATAATGCATCAATTAATATATTGTAGGTATAAACTTTTTGCCTGATGCTATTTGATAGCATTTCATTTATTAAACCAAACGCTTGTTGTAACTGATTCACTAAGCATATCCATGAACTAGAGTATTGTAGGTAACAAGATTAGGAGAAATTTCCTTGACAACCATTTCAGAATATATATATCTCAAGCTTCTTTTGGACGTTTATTTTTTAATAGAGAGTGAATAATTATGTTGTACATTACTGGTGATCGATCTTCAACCGTTTTGAGCAATACGATGATAACTTTAGTCTCTCCAATTTTGCACAATCCATTGATCAGAGTCGCATAAGCAAATTGGTCAAGCTGAAATCCTAGTGCTACTGTTTTGTCATGGAAGTTTATAATGCTTTCTTGACCCACCCTTATAAGAGACACCTCTTAAATGAGCGTAGTTAAGATTGTGGCAGTTTGATGATAATCCCATTTGAGAATCTTGGCAAATACAGAGAAAGCGAGACCAATTGGTCAAATGACAGAAACAACTGATGAGGATGTTAGAGATTAAAAAGGTCATGGTCAATCCCTTTGAGCTCCATTTACTTACTGAGACAAATAGCAGTATGGTACTGCTTCATCTTCACAAAGAATCCTAAAATCTTTCCAATTTCGAAGACAGAAGGAACAGGTATTAAATTGTGAAATATCTTTATCGTGTAAGGAGGTCTGAGAGTGAGAGTGAGAGCAACAGAGGGAAGTGAGGATTGGAAGAAAAGGAGGAATCTTGGGCATGAAAGTAAGAAGAGAAAACCTTAAACTTCTTTAGTGCGACATCTTTGCTGTAAACAACAATAGTTTTCAATAATTTGATGTAATTACAGAAATAGAAGTTAGGTTTTCAGCAAGTATAACAGGTAGTTTACCTTTTGCATGTAAAGTTTAAAGTGACAACAAAAATCATAAGAACTATTCATAAATTTAAATATAATTTAACAATTTATAGAAATTTTGTATATATTTTATATTTTTATTTTAAAATTTCAAAATTATAATACTTGAAATAAATATTTTTGAATATTGTGACATCTGTCATTAACATCTTATCAAATTACTTAACCATAATTAAAGCATAAATCTAATACTACTATCTTAACAACAAATTAAAACTTTATTCATTAAATATAATCAAATTCAAAAATTAATATTTTTAACCTTAAATAAAATCAATGTTTACAAAAATAATAAACCTTTTCGAAATATAATTACTAAAGTATTAATAGATTCTCTCCCACGTTTCTAGAACCATTCATATTGTTGTGTCTCTTCGTCTTTATTTGTACTAATATTTGCTCCCATATTAAAATATCATCATCGTAGTCACAAACAAAGAAAATAAGGATGAACTAACACACGAACAATCTTATTCACAATCACAATCCACAACATAATAATATATTGTATAACATTATATCCACATCCTACCGTTTATAGCATC